TTTATTTTATCCTGCCATGCTCTGCTTGCTTACCCATCACCATGACATCCACGGACATCCCAATATATTATATATATATATATATATATATTATATATATATATATATACATGTGTGTGTGTGTGTGTGTGTGTATACATGTACTGAATCGTAAGCTATTTATTTTATTTGCTATTTGTTAAAATTATAACAATAAATTAAGTATGAGACAATAGAATATATATAAATCGACTGATAACTTGCATTGAAGTAATGGAGGTTGTCTGTGGTGATTCATTTTCTTTGTAACTCATCTTTGTGTTACAAAATACAGTTTCTCTGATGCACAATTCACACTCAACAAGTGCCATTCACTCTCACAATACAAATCTCACGGGCCAGAGGATTACAATGACGTCACTACCGGATTAGTGGCGCCAGTGGTTCTGTTTCAGAAATGGCTATAGCAGACGACGTTTTATGTATAGAAGGAGCAATTTCAAAAGACAACATATAAACGAATAGATTTTTATGCGATTTAATTATTTCTTAATGAACTTGGGCACAAAAAATATCACCACAAATTATACACCCTTTATGTACACAGTGGTCAGTCTTTAACGTTATTAGTTTAGGAGTATATATGTTATTAAAGCACAAGTCTGTGTCTCTGCATTTTTTATTGTGACAGAGGTACATAATCACAATCTGTACATATTAACTCGTTAATTCGTAAACGTTCGTTCATCAATCTTAATCTATGCATAAACATTATGTGCACGTGTAAGTAAATGCACACCCAAACATAAACATATTTTCATGAAACCCTCTATTTTCTCTATAATTATCCTTGCCTACTTTTTCTCTATAATTATCCTTGCTACTTTTTATGCGTGGAAATCAATGGGGTATGATATGTATGTCAAAATTTTGCCGTGCCTAAAAATGATTGTTTATTTTGTATTACCACATTAAAAAAAATATATAATGTGTTATGGAATGGAGAGTACTTCTGGAAAATGTATCATAGTTCATTTATCTTACAACACTTAAACCTATGGACAGATTACGCAGGGAGACCATCACTGTGCCTTCCAAGGTGTTGATCTATGGTGAGGCATGGTAATAAAACAGCTGAAATAAGTAATATATTTTTTTCTTTTCCACACCGAAAGACGCGTTCAGACATTACAATTTCTTCAAATACAAAACACAATCTGAAATACAAACGCGGATTGCAGAGACTGACAAGCCATATCACAATTACAATCACAGTTGCTATCACCACAGTCGGATATTGTTTGAGGCTAAGAAGAGCTCCGTTTTAAGCCATTTTAAAATCTTCAGATAAAGACAAAAACACCGTAGATCTCAAGTACTGCCAGCTGATTATTTATTTTTTTTTTTTTTTTTTTTTTTGGTCAAATGCGTCATAAACAGATAAATTCAGTCTGTACAGTGTTTTGACTTGTATATAATTATGATACACAGAGGAATCATACAGCGAAGAAATAAATGTTGCAAAGAAACGAGAAGATTGTACTTATGACAAGTATGGCTGCGGTTACGTATTCAAACTTAGATCTGTAAAGCGGCAATTATTTTACTCCTTGGTTTATAGATCAGCCACGCTTGTTTTTTCCCGATTTTCGAAAATAAGAATAATTGAGAAATCGGCTTTTATTTTTTCCTGCCGCACCTAATCCGATACAATTTTATTACAATGTGAACAAAATGCAAATATTTGTAAAATCAACTCTTTTTATATTACCGCCGATGTCCAAGATAGCCAACCATCTTGAAAATAAATCAATGCAGATGCAACAACAACAATAACAAAATAATAAATAAAGATAAAAAATGAAAAAATAAATCGATGGTATCTACCGTTTGTCTCAAGCACAGTATGTCACCAGTTCTATCAAAGTCTGCGGGCACATTTTTTTTTTTTTTTTCCGCCTGTCACATGTTTCCAGAAATCAAATAACTATTCTAAAAAGAAAGTCAAAACACCCAATTATTTTTATCTTTATTTTGCTACCGTCTGTTAGAGGTTTTCATATCTAAAACCCGTAAATCAAGGAATAAAATCAGTGTAGTCTAAACAAATATAAGATATTTGCGTCCGCTTGCTCGTCTCATCATAACTATAACTTATATAACTATAACTTATAACTTATTGGATAAAGTCTCAGCATTGTTATTTTACCCACCAATAGTACTTGGATGTAAGAAATAGCTGCTATTTAATGTTTCTTGCGAGACGAAATCTCCGAAGAAAGTACGATGTATTGTTATGAAAAATAGTGTTGGACATGATTATAATTCTATCGTTTCTTCGTAATAACCTTAATTTATGGATATCGCGTAATGCAATTACATAATTCAAACTGAATATCAAATATTCAGTCTGAATTTATTTGATTACGACGTATTTATGATTGGAATTCGACGTAATGCAATTACATGAAGTATTCAGTCTGAATTTATTTGATTACGACGTATTTATGAAGATGTACATTTGAATAATCGACTGAAGACACCCAGGCATGCTCCAGGCTCTTTTAATCTGCAAATCATTTCGACCTTGTGCACAAAAGCACACCCCGTGGACATTTTTTCACCCTTTAAATCATTGGCCGAATTTTTTTTTCTTTTTTTTTTTTTAGTTTGCCCTCAGTATGCGACCTTTTTATTATCATTTATGTGTTTATTTAATTTTCTCGTAATTCTAAGTGACGTACTCGAATTGAACTACACCTAAACTGGTCGTTCTTTTTTAAAGCATCCTTTGAAAATGGGAGATTTAAAGTATATAATCATAAATAAGAGGTAAATCAACAAAAGTGAGAGGGGTGGGGGGCAGGATGTTAGGGATGCCACGGTGGGAAAACAAGGGTAACGCTGAAATACCCACTCTGATAAGGTTTTAGGTGATACTAGAACACCATAGACGTAACCTGTAATCTTCATACATATTTCATTAGATTAACTGCGGTTCAAATGACAAAATTGGCATCTTAGTAAGAACAAGGGATATGGGAAAAAAGTCCTGATGTTAAATGCATGCGTAGTGTACTTGGCAATTATAAAGAAGAAATGCAAAGAGTGATTCCGTATTGACAGTAGGCTAGTCGTTTTGTCTTTCAGATCTACGTGAATTGATTAAATACTGAAACTACTGCGTTATCGACGAATTTCGATAGATACTAAGGTTAAGGATGAGTAATTCTATGCAGAAGTTTTGTTAAATGATAAGTACTCTCGAACGAAAGTAAAAAGTGTTTCCTTGACGGGTACAGAGCTCAATTTTCAATTCTTACATATTTTTAAATCAGATTCTGGAAAAAATCCGTTTGTTGCATTTTTCACTTTATCACTTGAGGGAATAGTTACGGGTTGGCTCAATACCCATCAGCTGTAACTGTGATAATTTACACAACGTATCATGGGCATTAATTAGCAGATCGCTGTAATTAAGTAGTATTTTATTTTCTCTTAAACTTAACATTTGAATTTACTGTTACATCAAACAAAAATTATATCGATACTCTATTCCACTCCTCAGATAATCATTTCCTGTTGCATACATTCAAAACTATATTTTTTTTCTGTCTATCACCACTTTCTTTTATTTTTTTCCAATTAAACCTTCATCAGCGATTATCCTTTCATTTCCTTTATCCGTTTTGCGAAGACGTTGGCTGCGATGTCACGACATCAGCGTTTCCTTCCCCTTCTCTCTTCTTTTTCTTCTCTTTAGCCACGTTCCTTTCTTCGGCTGAAAATACAAAATATCATCGGATCAGTTAAAGCGTTTCGGGCAGCCCGTGCTGGGGTAGGCCGAGCCACGGTGCCACCAAGGTCTATAGAAGTACTTATATAGACCTTGGGTGCAACCCGCTCGGAAAATTCTAAACACGGGAAGCCGAAAAGGAACATCATATATCTGGATAAACAGCGATGGTAATGGCGCATAAAATGTTTGAATTAAAAGCATGCATCATAAACATGGTCACGAAATGCAATGACAATTCAAGAACTATATGCTGTACAAACATAATATGAATGAACATTATTCAGACTGAATCACACTGTGCGTTGTGTTATGTGTGTAAATATACTTGTACACATACATATATGTATGTGTGTATTACACGTTTTCAGTCTTCCGTTGCACTCCTGTGAAATTATGGTAAACATTCAGCACAGAATGAATCTCTAAAAGAGGAAAGAGTTACCTAAACAAATGAAGACACGCAATACATTAATTAACATGTTTCTGTAGTATTTATTTTAGAATTTTTTTGCAATTGGCCGGAATCTCAATCCTGCCTGAGAAATAAGTAACAGTTTGTTATAATATCTGGATGCGTATAAACAGTCCAGTATATCAGGTAAGAGTGTGTAAATTGTGACTTTGATGCAACGTTTTGTCTATACAAGTGCAAGCCACCTGGCGGCCCTGAGGTAGCCCGTAGTGGGACAGGCCAAAAACGTATTTCAAACCGGGAAAGACCAAAACAGGGTAGCCAGAAAAGATAAAGCCAGACCTGGGTGTAACCGATATCGTTCTACATATCCGTCCGTAGTCGAAATGGAAGCTGTACCTTCCTGTCGCAGGCCTTTGTTTACATCACCAGAGGAAGCAGCCGATTCGCACCTACCACACCCGAGCCTGGTTGACCTAAGGTGACCTACATCTCCCCCTCGAGCAAGCCCTTTGAACTCACCCCCCTTTGTCTAGGCTGAAACAAACATCTCCCGGAGCCAGCATAAAAGGACACGGTCGTCAGACAAGAGAGAGTACAGCAGACGGAGACACGGCGGACGGCAGGCAGACGACGGCCTCGCTCGCCACCGCTCCGCCCTCGGCACCCGGCTCGGGTCTCTCGTGGGGTCACACATTTGCCTCCCAAATAAACCTTCCAGCCAAGACCCTCCCCCCCCTCTTACGTTGACATTGGGAAACGGAGCATCACACATTGGGAATGACTCCCAGGGTATCAAACACTTATAAT